CAAAGGAAAGTTTGCAGACAAGAACATCCCGAAAGAATTACAGAAGATCATCGTAGCTGAATCCGGGGCGAATGATGGACTTGGTTACCCGTTCCTCTTTCTGCCGCTTTACCTCATCAAGCATATTGGTCACGGTGGGCAAGGTTCCGACAACAGTACCAGAGTTGCTGTCGGACTGTGGTTTGGCGAGACGTGGGGATATACCATCATACTAAGTGTCATTTATGGAGCTGCAGTGGGATGGATCGCAAAAGAATTGCTTCATTGGGCCGAAGAGCGGAAATACGTCGACCGCGAAAGTTTCTTGGTTTTTGCCATCACTCTGGCTGTAGGTTCCCAGATCTGGTCTGTTATGTTCGAATTTCACTGACATTGCATGCAGCTCTTCATTGTGGGTACATGTGGCATGATCGGTAGCGACGACGTGCTCGCCTGCTTCATCGCCGGCAATACGTTTACTTGGGATGACTGGTTCCGCCTCGAGACGATGGATGACTCTTTCCAACCAACCATCGATATGCTGCTCAATGTCTCTATATTCATCTGGTTCGGTGCCGTTTGCCCTTGGCGCCTCTTTGCGCATTCTCCGGTCATCCCCATCTACCGACTCATCCCATTGGGCATCCTGGTATTGCTTCTCCGCCGGCCACCCATCATCTTCGCTATGCATAAACAGATCCACCAGATCGAGCAAAGGCGTCAAGCGCTCTTCGTAGGCTTCTTCGGTCCGATTGGTGTGAGCGCCATCTTCTACCTATACATCAGCCTCGAGTTTCTGGCTGAGATCAAAGTCGACGGTGAAGTCAGAGAAGATGCAGCATTTCTTATGGAAGTCATGAACGTGGTCATCTGGTTCCTGGTAATCTGCTCAGTCGTAAGTGCACTTTTCTCTTCAATACTTCAGTATTCCTTCTAATATCGACTAGGTTGTTCACGGTCTCTCCATTCCATTAGGCAAACTCGGCTTTTTCATTCCCCGCACCCTCAGTACAGCGCTCTCCTTTGCTCGTACTGGATCTACCTCTGCCGACGAACCCGAACCAGCTTTCCACATCGAAGGTGCCGATGGCCCTACAACTGACGCTGAAGTGCGTTTACGCCGCCGTCCTGGCTGGTCGCGCAACGGCGGCGATTCTCTGCCCAACCGGGTTGTACGCATTGGCAGGACTTTGATCAGTTCGGGGACTACCTCGGCGAGTACATCAAGAGCACCTAGTTCGGCACGCGCACCTAGCCAGATGCCATTGCCTATGGGAAATGTCAATACCGCGGCAAGGGATGGCGAGGATTCGCGAGTAGATGGTGGAGCCAATAGTAATGTGCCGGGTGCAGATGAGGGCGTCATCCCTGGACGTACGATTCGTTTCCATGATGAGCAACAGAAGGCCAAGATTGCGGAAGACTAGTAGCAAGCGGATAGGTGAGGTTTTTGATTGTACTGATATAAAATTATGTATGCTTTTGCATGTCGAGCTGCATTAAGCATATGTCTAGCATCTTAATAGCGAGATTGAGAGAATGCATACAAGAAAGAAACTAGACAGATACAGAAATAATAAGCTATACCCTGCAGCCTATAGCCTGCATTATCTTCTAATAAGAAAACTTACAAAGATTAGCAGTATTGTAGTCTTCTAGTAGCTCTGAATATGCTCTTTTATAGTAGGAACGAGCATTCTTAAAGGGGAAGTTTGTTTTTTCTCTTTGATACAGTGGCTATGCTGCTCAAAAGACATCGTCAAGAAGGTGGTTCTACTATGGTACTAGCCTAAAATTCTTCTTCATCATCTTCCCTAGCCAGAGCCTTCTTCTCAGCCAACTCCCTAATCTTCTCCCCAAGCATCTCACGCCCATACCTACTCGCCACTTTACCTGCGAGGTCCAGCATCTTGCCATTTGCATCCCTCATTAGACTAACAATCTCCAAGGCCTTCATGCCATGGTCCTCACCCGCCAGACATTCCAAGCCGAGCAACTGGAGCAACGCACGGTCAATCGCCACTTCCAGCGTGCTCAGCGCGGATTTCTGCGATGCTGTGGGACGGGTGTGCAGCAGTGTTGAAGAAAGTTGTGAATGCAACGTCGAGGCAAGGACAAAGGCTTGTTCATGATCTTGCTGCTTTTCCTCGTTACTCTGCGGCTTATCGTCGTCGTCATCTTCATCTTCCATGTCACTCTCCTCGCCTCTCTTATTCTTCTTGCTCTTGGCCTTGTCGACTACACTTGTGAGTGGGATTTCGAAGCCAAATTCGGAGAGATGCGGAACAGGAGCTGAAGGGTATTGTTCTCGCCCCTTGATGATCATGCAGTGGAATTTCGCGCCTGTACCATCAGAGGATGTGGGGGATGAGGCAACACCGACGGGCCAGTATGATTCTTCTTTTCCACCGCCGGCACGTCGCGAGAGAAGCTTTGTGTCGAGCATAGGTACCCATCGGGCTTGACCAGTATTTCTCCAGCCAAGGAGGGTCAGCAAGACGCCGTCAGAGTCATAGATGTACGGGTCGCCTTCCACAGAGAAGAAGACTGAGGTTAGCGTTGTGCCAGGAGGTAGAGCGAGGATGTCAGAGTCCTGGTACACGATGTCGTGCTTGATGTTCTCGATGGTGTAGAGGAGTTGTGTGCTAAGGTCGTTCTGAATGGGTCCGTTTCCAATGGTCAGGATGTAATCGCGCCACGCCGCACAGGTAACTGCTGGCGAGCTCTTTTGCCTGTAGACGCGTACCGGCAGGCCGAAGAGAGAATATATGCGTACGTAGTTCGCTGACGTAGTTACGCAGACATATGAGTCCGACAATGCAATGGCGGTGACAGACTCCCCAGTGGGGAGATTCGTCCGCCACTCGGTTCTTGTCGTCCAAGTCTCATGCGGCCGGTAGTATATGATCGCAGGGTTACCGTCCCCAGTGCTGTTGGGCTGGCAGGCAAATAGTGTACCATTCTCGTTGAGGCAGGATTTGTCATATAGGAAGATGTCGGTGAAGTGGAAGTTGCGGAACGTATGCTCGTCGTAAAACTTGACACTCACTGTATGGTGTTTCCCTTCCTGTTCCACAGTCTCGACGTAGCCAGTCAAAGAACAGCAGAGTAACCGACGATTGCCACGCCATGGTGTACTGCCTGGTTGAAAGGGCTCGTGGACTTGAGGACGGAATAGGGCAGAGCTGTATGCGCGGCGTTTGGAGGCTGGTTCTACGCCGCTGGTAAGATGTCCATTCGGACGTTTCTTCGCTGCCGTGACCGCGGGGACGTATCCAGCACCATCATCGTCGATAACAAAATCCTCCATCTCTTCGTCCCCATCCACTTGGGCTTCGTCATCTTGGAATTCAGGGCCCAAGATATCCTCTAGAGAATCTGGTGTCCCGCTTCTTTGCCTTGGCCGTCCGGGAAGAGTCTGTACATTGCCATTTGTGAGCTTCGCTGGTTGTGGAACACCAGCTCGGCCTTCTGACGGGTCGTGGAAGAAAGGCGCGGAAACGGTAGGTTTCTGCAGTAGAGGAAGATGTTCGTCGGGCACGAGGTCGGTATGGATGAAGAGTTCGCCTTCGTTGTTGGTGTATGAGAGAATGTTCTCTGTTGGATGCCATGCCATAGCCAGGATAGTAGCTTTGACATCGTCAAGCTTCTTGAGTTGCTTCTGTGTCTTGGTATCCCAGAGGCATATGCTCAGGTCGCTCGAGGTAGTCGCCAGCAAGGCTCCGTTAGGTGACCATGCCGCTGCCGTGATATCAGCTGTATGACCTGTCTTGAACACTCGCTGTCTCTCCCAATCGGCCGTTGACATGACCTGTATTTGACGCATTGCCGTGGGTGTAGCGAACGCTCGGCCATCTGGATGCCAGAGGACTTTGGAACTGGTCTCTGCATCTGCCTCTAAGCTTTTGATCATTCCCTCTACCTTGTTGACCATTTCAGGCTCATCGCCATCCAGCTTGTACATATAGAGGTGACCGTCGGTGCAGGAAACGGCGAGTTGTGTTCCGGTCTTGTCAAAGGAAACATGCTTTACGGCTCGTGGCTGTTCACGCAGTGTTTTCATGCTCTTGTCTTTGGTGTTTACGAGGTTAACGACGAGTTCACTGTGGCTGTTAGTGACAGAGGCGCATAGCTGAAGCCATATACATACTCGCTCGCAACAGCGATCCAGTTCCCGTCCGGACTAAGAGCAACGTCTCGTACCGGCAGCGTGGTCCTGACCAGTATCTCTTCGAACTTTCCATTCTCTAGCGAGAACCTACTTACTGTGCCGTCCTCTGAGCCTGTTATAAAGTAACCATTCTACGTGGAGAATCAGTGTATTGCCTCAACCCCGACCGTGCGATACTACGTACACCAGCAACCACAGCGGTGTTGTTCTCCTGACATTCATCCACAGTGACCGGTTCATCGTCGGATCCAGTAGTGAAGACGCGGCAGTAGTTGTCGACTCCGGCTGTGACGAGTTTCTTTCCGTTCGGTGTGTATGCGAGGTAGGTTGCGCCGGGGGCATCTGAAAACTTCCATTAGCGTGACGTATCTAGACCATGGATCTAGTTTACTTACGAGCCTGTCGAGCACGTAAGCGCTGTGTTGTAGCCATTGTGGTATTGAGTGATGGTTGCTACTCGGGAAGTTCACCGCGTTTGGGTCGACGCGACCGCGTAAAGTGGGTGAGGCTAGCGCGCTTTCGAGGCGCATCCCCGCCGTGCTCCATCATCTCTACCATCACGATGCACTACCTGCGACAGGACCATGCCCGATGAGCATTTAGTATCTACTGGTTCTGCATAGCTCAAATCACCTTGAAAGTTCATTACTAAGTGTGTATCTACGTCACTCATGCCGAGTTCGTGGCTGTCTCAGGTGTGCACCTTCCGATTCTTAGAAAACCTAGAAGACCTCAATACTACTAATCTTTATAAGTTTTCTTATTAGGAAACGTAAGCTTTAAGTTAGAGCTTGTTACTTCTATATCTGTCTGTTTTTTCTCTCGTATGCAATACCTGCTCGGTTATTCCTCAAGAGTCTTTCGTAAACTCTGAATGTTGTCGCCACTTCTCTCCAAATTTGAAGATCGACATCGGAATGATTGCCAAAGACAGGCTCAACGCGCCCAGGATGCTGAAACCCAATCCATATCCGAGAGCATCAGACAGTGGCCCGGTGGTCAGTGGCAGGAAAGTACCCATGAGACATCTGGTGACAATGACGCCAGTCATAGCCGAAGCAGAGTACATGCCACAAGCGTCAACGACGTAGGCAGATAACGGTATGACTGTAAGAAGGAGCGAGAATCCCATGAGGGCGACAGAGGCAAGAAGCAAGAGTACAGGGAGACGATGCTCAGCGATCCAGCCATACGCTGTTACGGAGAAGGGTAGCAGGATCGCACCGATGATGGAGAGAGGAAGGCGATATTCTGGCTTTCCTTTTGCACCATCTGGACCACGAAGCTTGACATATATCCTATCGAGTGTGAAGTTGCAGACTAGGACACTGCAGAAAGATCCAACGCCTGAACGTTCGTTAGCTACTGCGATGAGAAACATTTGGGCCACTTACTGAATGAGATGAATGTAGTACCAATCATGGCGAGTCTGAAATCATACTTCTCGATCAAAATAATCGGTAATGAAACACTGACGACGTAGAAGAAGCTGAACGCTACGGAAGCGAACAAAGAGAGAAGCATGAGTACGGTCGACCCGAACAGTACCGCGAAGGGCCGGGTCATCGAGTGCCATAGCTTCGCTAGATGCTCATGTGTAGTCTTGGATTCGGAGATTTCTCCGGTTTCCTGCATCGTCTTTGCTGCTCTCCTCCTCAAGATAGTCATCTTGTAGGTCTCTCTGAAGTAGACAAGGAACAGGACCTCGCACACAATGGCCAATGCCGCGGCAATGGTCAACATGCGACGCCACCCTAGCGTCTGCGCGATTGCGCCCGAGATGGCAGGGCCGATGGCCCCTCCAATTAATGGTGCAAGCATGACCAGAGACATTGCGGAACCACGTTCTTCGCTCTCAAAAATGTCTCCAATGATCGCTGGGTTGAGAACATTTGAGGCGACGCACAGGCCCGTGAGCATCCTGGCAGCAATGAAAACGCCGCTGTTCTGGCTTAACACTGCTAGAATAGTTGCAGCGATGAATCCGATGTTACAAGCGTTGAAAACAGGATATCTTCCAAAGATTTCTGACATTGGTGCGATGAGCAGAGGTCCGGCAGCTTCTCCGAGTTCCCAGATAGTAACGAGTAAGGCGCTGTTCGCAGAGCTTGAGTGCTTTCCATCGAGATCCTCAACAATCGTGCTAGCCACCGGCACAACGCCGATGCAAGTAAACGTGCTGCGAACATAGTCAGTCTCCATGCTTTCGTAACGACCACAATTCTGATCGGATGTGCATACACTGTAAATGCCATCAGGGCAAGCAGAAAGACGTTTCCCCATTTGAACGTTTTCGACCAATTCCTAGGGTTTTCAGGGTCCAAAGGTTCAAAATCAAGCGCGTCATTCCCGGCTTCTTCACCATCGCGCTCCTGTTGAATACTTTCGTATTCGTGTGATATAATTCTGAGCAGAGGCTGCTCTTCGTCCGCAAATACCATTGCGTTTGCTTTCCAGAGAAGTTCAAGATGAGATTGTTGCGAGGTTTACCAGGCCCAGGAACTTTTTTACAGGACGAGGCGGCGTATTGTGACTAATGAACGCCCTAAGGCGTGTTTAGGTATGGGGTACATTTTTAGTGTCGGTCGACTGTGATAGCGGAGAAGCTCGCATGTGTTGAGCCGTCCATGTCCGTGCATCATGTACCTAGGTATGTATCTGGGCTCGTATGGCGTGATTGGTCGGTACATAATTATCCCGTCACCTTACAATATCATTGGACCTATCTCATATTGAGATACAGTCAAGACGAGTGCACGCGACTCTTTGATTTACCATGACCGTAACTGTATCGAGAACTTCATATTTCTTTCTTTAATGTCTCAAACAATCCTTGGCCCTACTCAACTATGATTATGACTCCATCACTCAAACCACGCCAACAACTCCCTTTTCTCCAACCTCCCTCCTTGCAATATCCTCCACATCCACAACCGTCCCCTCCCGAGCACTCCTCTCCAACTCCTCCCTTTTGATCGCACACTTCGCACTATATGTCGCCTGGTCTCTCTTACACTCCTTTTCCCAGAGGAAGTTCTCGCCCCAGCAGGACACGCCGACCAACTCCAACACCAGCACAGACACAACCAAGCCCGTAGTCGTTGCTATCAACTGCAGACTATCGAGGTGCGCAAGAGGCAGAGTTATTATGACTATAGACACACAAACGCGGTAGGCGAGACGAACAGGTTTGCGGAGGCGTTGATTAGGGATCGTGCGATGAACATGTGTCGCAGAGATGATAGCAAGACAGAGGAGAGAGATACCCAGACCGCCGCAGTAAAACCATGCTAGGCCCTCTGAGATGTGGTCTTCGGAACGGGAGACGAAAGTTTCGGATAAGGAGTCGAGAGGTGCTGAAGATATGTCGTGAGCACGAACTAGGACGCCGAGGGCCGATGCAGATAGGACGAAAGACATGACGAAGGGTAAGTGAACGGAGAACCATGTCAATGCTTGTGGTAGTCAGCAGTGTCGCCAGAGAAAGATGGGTTGGGTTATGGGGAGAAATCGAAATCTCACTTACCAGAGTATACATGCCTCCGAATCGCATGCGTGTGCAGATTGAAAGAGTCCATCTCAAAGTAGATCCAGTTAAACACAAAGGCCTGTATAAGTCCCAAGACAGCTTTGCCGAAGAAAGCGTTAATACCCATCTCAACATTGCTCTGGTACAATAGACCCAGCACGCAAGATCCAAAGACCAACGTGACGAACGCGTTCGTACGCTCAATCCGATGCTCGATGTTCGTCGCTGGAAAGAATTCCAGACTTCTCTTAATCCAACCGGGAACGAACTTGAATACTGGCGATCCAGGCCGTTGAAGCAGCACCATGCCAAACTGGCCAAACAGGTCAAACACGATAGCCGTCCAGATGACTCCCTGTCTTGCTGGCTCCTCAACATGTATACTGCCAATCCATAGTGCCGCAGGAATGAGCATGATAATTCCATTGCCGAGCATGGTTCCTCTGACCATGGGAATGATCCACGCGTACCACAAGAAGCTCGTTGCTACAAACAATCTGGCTGCCAGATAGAACGCTACGAGTGGCGCGTACGTCCTCTCCCATGCTTCAGCCATATTTGTTGTGAACCCCAATAGGCAAGTGAGCAAGAAAAGCACTGAAAGCCGCCTCACAACGTCGTCGCTATCGAACCACGAAACCAGGACACCAATATCTGTCCAGAATTTCCAGCCCATGATGAAGGTGATGGAAAATCGGAGTAGAGACTGGCCTGTTGGGTGTTCAGCCGCAGAATCGCCGGTGATGGCAATAATCCCCACGTAGAAGAGGTCGATGAATAGTTCATACGAGGCGACTTCTTGGGCTTCTTTTGCGCGCCATAGAAGACCTTTGTGGAAGTACTGGCGTACTATAGGCTTTTGGTAGAGACGGATGCTGGCGCCGTGGTGGCGGTCTGCATGCCATGTTTCTTTGTCAAATGAGAAAGAAGAGGCAGATGAGTCTGTAGGGTCTGCTGTGTTGAAGTCTTCTTTGGTGCGAAGATGGGCCGAGTAACCGTATTTGGAAAAGTTGGCGTCCAATTGCACGGCGTGTGAGGTTAGCATGTGGAGTTCGGTAGATAGGGCGTCAAGATCGCGTATTACACGCTCAAATTCTTGGGCTAGGTCGCCGTGGTCCTGATGGAGTCGGCGGCGGTGCTCTGTGTGGTGGGCGTGTGTATGGCGGAGTGCTTCAATCTGTGACATGTAATCAGGCATCTATTGCTGTCGAGGAATGGTTTCCAATCTCTATCCACTAAGACTTACATGTTCGGGAGATCCATGGACGACGAGATCGAAATCTTCCTTCTCCTCCGCAGTGCTGAGTTTCCTCCTCATGTGGTTTGCTTCATCGGGCGAACTCGCAATGTGTACTTTTCTTCCATCGGGTCTGAGGAAATGTCTCAATCTCTTGCCTGTGTGGTGACCGTGATGCGAATGATGATGCTGGTGAGATTGGTGCTCTGCTGTCGTGCCTGCTGGCGTGTCGGTGCCGGTATGTGGAGTGTCTGCCATCTTACGAAGGGAATTCGTATCTTCTAGGTTATCCTCCCAAAATGACACCTAGTTACATGCAACCTCAAAGGCACTTCTGGTACCTTACGCTAGATATCTATTGAGATAGTAGTAGTGCATACCTCTGTAGGGTACAATCTGATAAAACGAGCTTCTTCGCGCTTATCACGAGGCGGAAGGGACCCTAGGGCAGTCAAATCAAACGACAAGAGAGAATCGACCCAGCGGGACTATATAGACACCGCGCCGAAAGTTTAATGATGCTGCCTCATTGGCACGGATGACTGATGCTTGCCTGTATCGGGGCTAACAACTACCCGATTGGCTAGGATGTGTACCAAGAGCGTGAATAAGCAGTCACCACGCTTGGGTAAGCTGCGGGGCGGAAGCCGATTAAGAGTGTTTTGCTGTTTCGTATAGCAGCTTGGACATCTAGCAAGAAGCCTCTGTGAGACAAAATGCTTCGAGTCTTGCGTAGGCGGTCCAGCTTACTAGTATAGCCCCGGGAAGATTAGTCATCGCTCATGCATTAGGGTGGCTGTTGGCTAGGCAAATGAGTAGACTTCATGTGAAACATGGTTTCCCCTATATTGTAGATTTGTCCCGTAGGTCAAGAAAACAGACCTGAGGTGATGATAGTGTGTATTGCTCGCTAGAGATGTACGAACGTACTCTGCCTCGGACCATCTAAGCACTTTGCTGCTTTCCGAAGCCATGCGTATCCGCCATCTATCGTTTCTTGGCTTGCCCGGCAGGGCTCTGTGTACGCGCGCTCGTGCTGCCCGAATCCGTCTTGCCCGCCATCCACGAAGCAAGGTCGAAGTTCTGTAGCTGCTGTGCGGTATTGGTGGAGCCGGAGCCGAGGACGCCTTGCTTTTGCATCTCTTCGAATTCTTCCTTCATCTCGGGATCCACTACATGATTGTCAGTAGGTGTCTGCATATAATGAACATTCCAGAGACTTACTGTTCTCCATCAACTTGGGCATGCCGAAGATAAGGCCCATGGAGACAACGGCCATAAGAATCATGGGGTTCTTCAAGAATGACAAGGGCGAGACTGGAGTATGTTAGCAAGGTCGCCGAGCAGCACGTGGTCACAAATGCCGACTTACAGCCCTGTCTCTCCTGGTAGAAGTACTTGGTTCCCACCGGGCGGGCCTCGACCACCAAGCCGTTTCCCCCCTCACCGCGACTCTCTCCCTTGTTGTCCCATTCATTGCCCAAGAAGGTCTGCCATGCCCTGATCATCTCCTTCTTCTCCCCGCTGCCCTCAACCGTCTCCTCCACGGTGACATCAATCCTCAGTGGCTCGAAGGCATAGTCGCGGCAATGCACAGTAGCCAGGTAGCTGCCGGCGCTCACGTTGTTGAAGTTGAATGTGTTGGAGCGCGTGAGGTAGGCGTCGATGGGCGGGCCAGAAGACTGGAGCGTTGCATGCGTCGTCGAGGGGAGGGTGGACGGGTTGACCAGGACCGTGTTTGGGATTTGAAGGAGCAACCGTGCAGCGCTTGTGAGGGTCGCAAACGAGGACAGTGAGGCGAGTGAAGTCTTCATTGTCGCGTGGGTTGAGCGGGTCGTTGGGTTGGCGATGTTGCCCTGCTGGTGGGCGTCCGCTCAATGCGCGAGAACCTCCGCGCACGGGCCTACGTACGTATGCGAAATACTACTCTACATAGGGCCTGATTTGGTCACTTAGGTCCCGCGTTTAGTATGCCCGTGTAGTAATAATGCTCGTCTTCTCGACAGTAGTGCAACATTCATCGTGGTTTTGATTAACATCCTTCTCTCCACCCGATCATCCTTTCATCGAATTGATCACCATATGTGGTCAGAAAGGGATAGAAAGTAATCGAGTCACCGCGTAGTTCGCTGCTCCGGATTATCGGCAGGGAACGACTCTGCCAAGCTTCCCCCGCACCCAGATTAAGCTTGAGAAGCATCGTTGCTGTCTTGTATGCCAACATCTAGCTCATCTCCGCGCTGATCCCATCGATCTTGAACTGGAAACTCCTGATGTCGTTGTCTTATACACCGAACGGCCGAACGGCTCCATACCATCCCGCGTATGCAAGGCATGTATTCACGCAGGGTGTCAGATCCTCCTAGTACACCGGGTTGGAGTTGAGGGCTCGAATCCGCAGGATCGTCATACCTGCATCAAATTCATATATAGGTGTGAACGAAGCTTAAGGACGGAACTCGTATTCCCTCTGTTCAACTCCAGTAATTGTCAACATGCAATCCAAGTTGTACCTCTTTTCAGTGTTTGCCGCATTCGCTGCGGCATCCACGACTAACAGCCACCATCTCCCCAAGCGGCCAAGCATTATACCTGCCCCGTATGACTCTGGAAAACCAATGCCGTGTTCACCGGCACGAGAACCCAAACGCTTCTGTTTTGTTCAGCCGGGAACAGCCCCAGACCGCGATGACGCAGCACATATCCTTGACTCTTTCCACAAGTGTAATGATGGCGGTACAGTCGTGCTCGATCAATCTTACCTTATAGGTTCACCTCTTGATCTGACCTTTCTCAAACACATTGACGTCGTCATCACCGGCGAAATACACTTCGACGCCAGTGACGTCTACTGTTGGGCGGAGAATAGTTTCAAGTACGACTTTCAGAATCAGTCTGTATACTGGAAATGGGGTGGTGAGGATGTGAATATTTACGGCGACCTGAGCAGGGAGAAGAGCGTTATCGATGGACATGGTCAACCTTATTGGGAGGAGATTCAGACCAACAAAAGTGTGAGTAAAGACTTTTCTTACAGTGGTAGAGGTATTGTCTTAAGGTTATGTTCTGACATTTGTATCTTGCAGTTGCGGCGACCTATGTTGTTTGCCTTTGATGGGATGGAGGGCGCCACCATGTCAAATCTGCGCATGCGAAATTCACCACATGTAAGGACGAAATCACACCTTACATCTCGTGCTTATTGACATGTCATAGTGGTTCAACATCATCGCAAACAGTAGCGACATCCTCATCAGTAACATGGATCTGCGAGCAGAGGTAAAGTATCCATTAAAGTTGCTCAGCCACTGGACTCACAACTCTGCAGAGTTTGAACGACGTCGAGATCGCAAACTCCGATGGCTGGGATACTTACCGCTCAGATCGCGTCGTCATCCAAGACTCATACATAATCAACACTGATGGTAAGAACCTTTGATTTCCTCCGACACACCCATACTGACCATCACCAGACTGCGTTTCGTTCAAACCCAACAGCACCAACGTTGTCATCCAAGGCCTAGACTGCACGGGTTCCCACGGGATGAGTGTAGGCTCTCTGGGACAATACGCCAACGAGACCGATATTGTCGAGAACCTTTACATCTACAACGTCTCTCTCACAAATGCTAGCGACAGCGCCCGTATCAAAGTGTGGCCCGGTATTCAAACAAGCTTCCAGACGCTGCTGAACGGCGGCGGCGGTCTTGGACGCGTTAGGAATGTTACATATGACACGTTTCGTGTTGATAACAACGATCGCGCGATTACCATCACGCAGTGCTATGGGCAGAAGAACCAAACGCTGTGTTCAGAACATCCGGTAAGCAGGGCAACAACCAAGCTGGAGATATCGTATCGAAGCTGATGAACTTCACACAGGCAAATTTAACCATCTCCGATATTACTATCAAGAACATGTATGGAACTACATCCGGTAAAGAAGATCCCGAAGCAGGTACCTTGGTTTGCAGCGCGCCGGATGTGAGTGCAGTCATATTCAGATCAATCGTGAAGCAGTACTGACGTATTTCATTGTAGCGATGCAGTAGCATACGTGCCGAGAACATCACCGTCCAAGTACCTAGTCGAGAGCCGCCGGTTTACGAATGCAGAAACGTCGATCCGAGCCTGCTGGATATCAGTTGCATGGCGACCAACGAGACGGAAAGGGACACCACGCAGGGCTGAGTCGAAACTGGTATTGTACGAAATGAGATGATGTCACATTGGATGGTGTCAAGAAGGCCTGTTGCTAATAGTAGCTTCACTTTACGCAAATGACCATCGCTTTGACGTGATTCATCTTTACACCGCGTCATGGTGCATGCATATTGACGAGAGAATTACAGTTCAGCGGAATTGATTGTGTCGTTCCAAGAATGTGAGGAAAGAAAACTAACAATAATAAGGAAATAAAAGTCCCCAGGACTTCATAACCACTGCTAGTAAAGCACCATGAGCAGCAACCCTACTTACCCAACCAAGACGTATGGCACTCACGTCTGAGAAGTGTGACGTGGTCCTCGACTCCCACCTCATCAAGCCCAAACTCTCTGAACACTAACCTTTGAACAACTCGAATCCAATGGCTCATTGGCCAGACCCATGTTCCACATCAGATATTTGGTACATATATACCAATTCGAGACCTTGATTGCCGGTACGGAGAAGGCAGGTGTGCTACCAGTGTCATTGAGACTGACGATAATGTACATGGTGCTGTAGCTGCTGTTTCTTTGTTCAAAGTACACATTCTGATGACTCGCCTTCCCAGGTGCAAAGATCATGCTCATAAGGTAGGGTGTGGCGGAATACTGGAAGGCCATGGCAGAAGACGCGATGCCCTCACCGTTGTTGTATCTCAGGGGCCAATTGAGGACACCTGCCGTATCGTTTGCGTTTTTGGGGTTGTCGTGGTTGTAAGAGGTTGTGTTGTGGTAAAAGGTAGTGGCATAACGAGCTGGGTCGATAATCGTGTCGTTTGTCAGACACAGGCTTTCCTCAGCTGCGCCTACATGACAAGGACCGAGTGCGTGGCTGGTATTCATTAGTTTGAAATGTGTTCAAGAGTGCCGAATCTTCTCACTTGTTATAGGCGGAGTTGTTGGTTGGTGATTTCAAGACGAGACGGAAGCCGTCGGACTGGACGTTGTAGGCTTGGGCAACCGCCTGAGCCAGCAAGGTCGCGAACGCTAGGATAGCGAATTTCATGATGAATATAGGTCTTGACGCTGAAATACGTGCTCGTGGCTGGATAGAAACTTGCAGATGTTGATAGTGATGGTATCGAGGAAGAGTCGAGCAAGGAGGAATGAGACATTCTAGAAACGACAGGCAACGTGTAATCTCAAAGAAGGTGCTGCGCACACAAATACCCAACAGAAAAACGCGATTCGGGAAACGACATATATGGATATGGTATGCGTGGCAGGTGCAAAGGTTTCATGAGCTTCAGGAGATCATCGCCGTCACAGTAGTTGTCGATAACGGCAGTACTATAAGGAATTCAGGTGTAGCCTGGAGAACTTCAAGAAATTTCCAGCCTCTGGAAGATTTGTGAAAACTAGGCCAGGAGATCCTTGGGGTTTCTGCCAGAGGTAACATCGGACTGATATCTAGGGCTGAAAGATACCAACACATTCACTCATGGGAGAACATATTGGTGCCAAAGCATTCCAGATTGGATTTGCTCTCGATGATCCTCCCGCATGTTGGGCATGACATCTGTTCCACAGTTCGACAAGTACCCTGTGCGATATGCCTTTCCAGATTTGCCATCTGCGCAAACTCCCTCTGGCAACCACCATATGTCAGCTTAGCACTTCTAGCCGCATCTCGCTTTGGTTTGCACGCAATTTCTGAATCTTGGTGCCTCTTTAATTCCGTCTTGTTGGCAAAGTTCAGACCACAGTCGTTGCAAGGGAACTGTGCGGTTTTCTTGGCTGTCTTCGCTCTTTTCCGTTGATACTCGTTGACGTGCTCTTTGTTCTCTTCATTCCATTGCCGCTTCACTTCCTTCCTATGCTCTTTATTCTCCTCGTCCCAAATCTTCTGTGTCGCTCTAATTTCTTTCTTGTGCGTTGCTCTGTAGAGATCGTGCTTCTCTTTGTTTCTCTTAGCCCGTTCTTGAAGTAGTTGAGCAACCTCCTCTGGCCTTGTTTCTTCCAAACTCCGACTCTCATACATGCAGCTGTGAGAGTTGGCGCCATCGTACTCTTGGTCCTCTTTCTTCCATAATGCAAGGCGTTCGCAGTTCTTCTAGGTGCCAACCATGGTCCAGAGTCGGAAGGTGAGAGTGTGTTCAACAGCAAGCACGAGAGTCTGTACAAACCCTGAAGTGACGAACTTTTCGAATCATCTGAGCGACAGCACTAAGAGCACTCTTTCCTACTACAAAAGAGCATATTAAGAGCCATATAGATGTAGATCAAAAACCTAGAAGACTACAATACTGTCAATCTTTGTAAGTTTTCTTATTAGAAGATAATGTAGACTGCAAGGTAAACCTTGTTATATCTACACCTGTTCGGTTTTTCCCTCCTATACGGTGTAGCGAAGACTTATTTGCCGATTGCCGATTCACGTAAATCACGTCAGTCATACACATATCGAAGTTCTATCAAACAATCATGTGAAGGTGCCATTCGACAATTTATTGGCATTACTAAAGGTAGTAGTAACATAGAAAGAGGACAATTGATCCCAAATCGCTTCATGTATGGAGAAGAAGGTACGCTAGCAGCTCTCCTTGTAAACGCCGTAGCTCGCTATTGTCAACCTGGTGTCTGTCTCTCTTCAAAAGCGAGGCTTCGAACAAGAAACATTCCAATCAACAATGCAGAGCCATACTGCTCCTCACAACGCTACAGAGTACAGTAATAAGCCGTTTAGTACTCTGCCTCAACACCCTCGTCGTCGCCGAGGCTGTCAGCGGCCACCTCCTCGTAGTCCCGCTCCAAAGCTGCGAGATCTTCGCGGGCTTCAGAGAATTCACCCTCCTCCATACCCTCACCAACGTACCAGTGGACGAAAGCGCGCTTGCTGTACATGAGGTCGAACTTGTGCGAGAGAGCAGACCAGGCCTCGCTGATGGCCGTGGTGTTGGACAACATGCAGACGGCGCGGTTGACGGCGGCGAGGTCGCCGTTGGGGACCATCTGAGGAGGCTGGTAGCAGATACCAACCTTGAAACCAGTCGGGCACCAGTCGACGAACTGAACGGTACGCTTGGTCTTGACCTGGGCGATGGCAGCGTGGGTGTCCTTGGGGACAACGTCGCCACGGTACAACAGGCAGGTAGCCATGTACTTTCCGTTGCGAGGGTCGCACTTGACCATCTGGTTGTTGGGCTCGAAGCAGGCGTTGGTGATCTCCATGACCGAGTTGGCCTCGTGGGCGGCCTTGGCAGCGGAGATGACGGGAGCATAGGCGACGAGAGGGAAGTGAATACGGGGGTAAGGGACCAAGTTGGTCTGGAACTCGTTCAGGTCGACGTTGAGGGAACCGTCGAATCGGAGCGAGGCGGTGATGGATGAGACGACTGAGTCATGTTAGCAGGCTGCATTTCTAAGCAAAAAGTTCTGAGAGCTTACCCTGAGCAATGAGACGGTTGAGGTTCTCGTAGTTGGGGCGCTCAATTCCGAGGTTCCTGCGGCAGATGTCGTAGATGGCCTCGTTGTCGACCATGAAGGAGCAGTCGGAGTGCTCAAGGGTAGTGTGGGTGGTGAGGATGGAGTTGTATGGCTCAACAACGGATGTGGCAACCTGGGGAGCTGGGTAGACACAGAACTCGAGCTTGCACTTCTTGCCGTAGTCGACAGACAGACGCTCCATCAACAGGGCACCGAAACCGGAACCAGTTCCTCCACCGAAGGAGTGGAAGACGAGGAAACCTTGCAGACCGGAGCAGTTGTCGGCAACGCGGCGGACCTTGTCGAGGACCTGGTCGATGAGCTCCTTTCCGACGGTGTAGTGACCACGGGCGTAGTTGTTTGAGGCATCCTCCTTGCCTGTGATCATCTGCTCGGGGTGGAAGAGGGAGCGGTAAGGGCCGGTGCGGACCTCGTCGACGACGTTGGGCTCAAGATCGGCGTAGATGGTACGGGGGACATACTTGCCCTGACCTGCGCAGAGTTAGTCTTCGGAAACGGCGCCTCGGGACGGATTGTGCGTACCAGTCTCGGAGAAGAAGGTGCTGAAGCCGTGGTCGTCGTTCAGGGCCTTGCGCTCCTCGGTGAGGAAACCATCAGGCTGGATACCGTGCTCGAGGCAGTAGAGCTGTGAAGGCAAGTCAGTATAATCGCGCACTGGCGGTGAGGTACCCGCAGCCCCTTGTTTTGCCGTGCAGTGCAATGCAGTACAGAAGAAGGAGAAGCCGGGCGTGTCCTCGTCTTGTACTCACCTCCCAGCAAGAGTTTGCGATCTGGCAACCGGCCTGGCCGACTAGACGCGTGAAAGTCAGTATCAACAAATAGTCAGGGATGTCCCGCCCAGGCGGTCAAGGCGCGTATCAGCGTATAAGGCGACATACCGTTCAGACTGATGACTTCTCTCATGTTGGATTAGAAGCAGAGTAGTAATTTGGGTATCGGAATGCGGTCTCGGGGATGGCTGGGCGAGGTTGAGGAGCTGCTGTCGGTGGGAGTGGAGCAGTGGGGGAGAGGTGCTGGTGTTGTCTGTGGAATCGAACTTTTAGGCTGTGCAGGCGCGGCCTAGCGCGGACAACGGCGCTAAGCAACACGTCCAATGCCGCTGCCTGGCCACTGCGTAGACATACACGACTCCAGACGACTCTGCCATTTGGACGGCTAACATTGCTGTTCCAATGCTACTGCTCTGGCCCACGTGAGGGACCATGAACTGCTTCCCACCCAGCTCCTCCCCATCCTCACGTGCTATCCGCCAAAGATGCGCCTCTCCGCCGCGCTGCTCTGCATCGTCTCACAGCTCTGGACGGTGAATGCCAACGTCGAGAAGACGATATTCCTCGGTCCCAAGCCTGTGACTCTCCCCAATGTCCGCTCCAGCTCGTATGACTTCGGTCTGAACTACTTGTCGCCTGACTTTACCATCCTCCCGATCCGTGTGCCCGTACGGTTTCCCACCGAGTCGGTGCCCCGCGGTCTCGAGTCCTGGTATCTGCTTCGCGGCCTGGAAGACGGGCGGAGGTACGAATTGCGCATCTGCTGGCCGGCAACTGTGAGTCCAATGCGCCTTCCCGTTGCATGTCGCGTGCATACATACGCGTTTGCTTGTACTGACATGCCCAGCAACCTACCGACTTCTGGCTCGACACTTATTCTGTCACCCAAATACTCGACACGCCTGAATTGACATCTTCGCTGGTACAATTCAACTCGGAGTTTCGACGCTACCTAGTCGACGACGACATCACCACCAAGGAAACACCGTCTGCAGCCCCAAAGTCGATGCTATTTCTGCGCCTCCAGGCTGCAGCATCTTACTACTCGACCAATCGCACATTGATGGACTACCCGCCTCCAGTCGATGCGGATCTCAGTACGTCTCCTCGCATGTACAAGTCGCATGAAACCTAACAGTCGCAGTACTTGATCCCTTTATACTGAACGTCTTCCCCCAGTCACTCGCTCCCGTCGCCATATACATTACCGCAGTCGCTGTAGGAGCCTGGTTTCTCTCTAGTTACATCTACCGTTGGTTATTGTCAGTCGCTGCCGACGCACCTAGCAAACCGCACACCGATTGAGCAAACGGTGTCCGCCCTTGAAACCACAGCGGCTATTTCCACCTTAGTCATCTACACTTCTGCACGCAAACATGTCTTCGGCTGCCGGACCGCCTCCACCGCCTCCACCTCCGCCGCGCAAGCCATCCTTCAACGGCAACCTCTGCGACAATCTGTTCGATCTTCTCCCCGCCGAATTGTTGCTTATAATCTACGAGTATGTGGGTAGTGGTAATCTCATGAACCTCGCTCTGGCCATCTACCCTACCCTGGAGCAGCACAGAATTGTACCACAGCTTACAGCCAGCACGTACCTTAGCATAGTACGCGGGGCACAGGGTGCGACGGCGGCGAGACGATCACTAGTCTTACCACCACCTTTGGATAGGATACCCATGGAGATTTGGCTCGTTGTAGCTCGGGATCTAGAACCAATCGCTATTCTATCAATGATGGTGGCTCTCGGCAGATACCCGCGAGAGTCGATGACCCCAGAGACGGCAACGCGCATGAGATCATGGTGCCGTAGGTCAAAGAGAAAGGATGCATCGTGATTATGATTGACGAGGACATGGTAGTGTATGGTGACATGGACTTCACGGTACACATGTCGCTTTTGCCGGCTACATGGCTTTGGGTGGTCTAGCTTTGGAACGGGACAGTATAGCCTGACGAATAGCATACTTATGATACGAGAAGTTTCCATAATTATGTACATTGGAATAAAGACGATCATGACAAACGCCACGCTATGCACCCAAGCCCAGTCCAGTCCAGCGCCAAACATGCATCGACGTCTTCTCCGTCTACGCATCCCTAGGGAATTCATCCTCCAATCCAATCGTCACCTTGACATTCATGCTACCCAGTTCCTGAATCAGAAGCTTAGCAGCATATGGCATAGTGATCTTGCGGACTGCCTTTTCACTTTCGCAGAGTTTACAGTAGCCGCTGTAGCCCATTTGGCCGCCTGTTGCATTGTTAGTAAAATATTGAGCATCCAAACATGGACAAGACTTACACTTCTCGCAAACATCAACATTGTGCGCATCCGAACTGATCATCAATCGCTCAAGCAGCAGCTGAGAAGCACCGTATGCAATCAAACAATCACGTTCCATCTCACCCAGACGCAGTCCACCGTCCCTCGCACGACCTTCGGTAGGCTGCCTCGTCAAGATAGCACGCGGACCTCGAGCACGCGAGTGCATCTTATCCTGCACCATATGCTTGAGCTTCTGGTAGTAGATCGGGCCAAAGAAGGTGTAGAACTGATGTGCTTCTCCCGTGATACCACTCGTCAGGTAGTCTTTGCCAGTGTACGAGAAGCCCTTCTCCACAAGAATTTGTGACATGTCTTCAACCGTGGACCCACCAAACGCAGTTCCATATTCGAGGGTGCCGTTGAGAACACCAGCTTTTCCGGAGAGCAGTTCCATCATCTTGCCGACTGTCATACGCGAGGGGAAACCGTGGGGGTTCATGATAATGTCGGGGCAGATACCTTGGTCGTTGAAGGGCATGTCTTCTTGTTGGACGATGAGACCTGTCGTACCTTTTTGGCCGTGGCGCGAAGAAAACTTGTCGCCGAGTTCTGGGCGGCGGGTTTGTCGCATGAGGAGCTTGATTAGTGTGGTTCCTGCTTCATTCTCGGTGATGCATGCTTTGTCGATGTAGCTGCAGTCGGGCAACTTGTACTTGTCGGGCTTGTCTTTGTAAACGTTTGTTGCGGGTCCTGCGGTGTCCTGGGGGATGGACTTTAGGAGGTAAGCATCGCCAGCTTCAATGCGGGCACCGACTTGAGCGATACCGTCTTGACCGATGGCTTGGTGGCTGGAGTTGTCTACGTCTAGAGCGCCAGCATTGATGCGATCAGAGGTACCGTTGGCATACGTCTTGAGAGGCGTGACGTGCTTCTTGAACACCTGGCAGCGACCGAAGCCGCGGTCGCAGGAGGCTTTGTTCAGAATGAGCGCATCCTCAATATCGTAGCCGGAGTAGGACATGACTGCGACAGTTGCGTTTTGACCGGCAGGCAGTTTGTCGTACTTAGTGAGCTCGATAGTCCGTGTCTTGACCATAGGCTGTTGGGGGTAGACCATGAGATATAGCAGTGTATCTATTCTGTTGAACTGGTTGTAGGCGATGGCGCCAATAGCTTGCTTACCCATAGCGCATTGGTAAGTGTTACGAGGGGATTGATTGTGGTGAGGGTATGGGATAAGACCAGCGACAGCACCCAGGATGGTGAAGGGTTCAATCTCGAGATGTGTGGTGTGCTGGTTGATTTCGGTCTCTTTCAAAGCGATGTTCGTGTCGTTCTCTTCATTTGTATCGAGATACTCAACTAGACCTCTGTGCAAGAAGTCTTCAAACTCCATTGTTCCCTTGCGAAGGGCTTTCAGGTACCTCGACGTAACTTTAGAGCGTTGGTTCTCAACAATAATCATTGGACGGCAAATTCGCCCTTCGTCCGTAGCGATGTGGACTTCGCAGTGGTCGTGGTCAATGTGAATGCTGGTGAACTCAGAGATGCGACCCATCCGCCTGAGTTTCCGGAAGCTGTTGAGGAATCGCTTTGGTGTATCGGTGACAGCGATAGGTGTACCGTTGAGACACACACTGTACACACCCTCCGAATGGATCTCTTCTCCTGTTTGCGAACAGATATCTTCAGCGCCTAGCATGAACACAATCTTGCGCACTGGATCGTCATCATCTTCGGTTGTGATATGTGTCATCAACGCCAAGTTCTTGACAAGACCGCAGGCTTCTCCTTCTGGGGTATCTGATGTGCAAAGCATACCAAATTGCGATGGCTGCAGCGCACGAGGACCGGAAACCTTACGCGTCTTTTCGAATTGTGAACTGATTCTCGTCATCATACCTAGCGCAGCGATATAACTCAGTCTGCTCAAGACGTGTGTAACACCAGCTCTCTCCATCTTGAAACGCTTCAAACTCCAGTTTCCAGTCGCAATGGCACGTTCGACACCCATGGTGATGTGATTCTTGTGTACACTGAAGTGGGAAAAGGCGTCAAACTCTTGCGCTCGGACCGGCTTCTTCAGGACCTTGTCGATACTCAGCTTGAAGTCGTGGTTGAAACGCTTGAAGTGGTCCTCGAAGAGAAGCGACAACATCTGACCAGACAACTCGAGACGCTTGTTTCCGACATAATCACGGTCATCCACTAGCTTTGGGTCTTGCATGGCCATCAGAACTCTACGCGCCATGAGGGCGACGTAGAGGGCCTTTGGTCGGTAGTTTGTGCCTTCGACTGGGACGTGGGGAAGTACGACGTTGGACAAACACTCAATAGCCTCCAAGTGATAGTTCCGGCTGCGAGACGTACCAAGCGGCTTCTTCACTAGTCGTACGCGATGGCCGATGTACTCAAGCGCTCGTTCCTGGGTGTGGATCTGTTCCCTTGCGCATGCCTCGAAGTTGATAGCAAAGTTGTCCTGATACGCGCTGTCCTCGCCGGCTATCATCAGCAGGATTTCCTTGTCGGAGTGTACGCCCAGTGCCTTCATTACGAATACGATCGGAATCTCTTCGGAGAGCGTGTTGTGTCGGAGGTACATGAGGCCCTTCTTCTGAATCACGTATGTCTTGGTTCGCCTTTCGTGCGTAGAACTCGTTACGCTGGCTTGCATGATACCCTTTGCGCTCTCAACAATGACTCGATTCTTGTTCAGCTGCTCTTGAACCAAGATGACCTTCTCTTGCCCTCGAGTAATGAAGTAGCCTCCTGGGTCTAGCGGGCACTCCTCCATGACTGCCATCTCGCGATCGTTCTTTCCTGCGAGCACACACTTGTTGCTCTTCAACATGATGGGCATTCGCCCAATTTTGATGCCCGTCCGCTTGACCTTGGCATTTCCGCGGGTGTATATAATGTCCACCACTATCGGCGCAGCATATGTCATGTCGCGCAACCGACATTCGTTGGGTGTAATGGTACTGCGGTGGTGTTCGAGGTCATCTTCTTCCTGTCGGTTCGGAGAAAGGACGCGAATGTCTGTGTACTCGAGGAGGAACTTGGGGTCGAAATCGCTGCGGACAAAGCGGTTGGCCTTGATGATTTTCTTGAGTTCCACATCGACAAAGTGGTTGTACGAATCGACGTGCTGCTTGACGAGACCCTTGGTCTTCAGGAACGCCGGCAGTAGGTTCCATTTGTCGCGCGCAGTATTGATCGGGTCGGTCAGGCTCTTTCCGTAGTAGAACGGCTCGAGGAGGGCGGCGAACTCGTCTTTGGCATGAGTAAGCGGCGCCCGTCGCTTTCGTGTCGCTCCGGCCGATGTTGAAGCATCAGGATTGAGGTCGGTCGCATCATCGCCCGCTGTTGGCTGAGGGTTGGCACCCCCAGTATCTACATCCATATCGCCGTCAACTTTCTTTACCGCAGGCGCAGCAGTCGCAGCATTCGCCTTCACGGCCCCGCGCGGGGCAGCTTTGGGCTTCGCGACTTCCTAAACTCACGTTAATCCTTGGTCGCCGTTAAGCATAGAGCTCCATACCTTCTTGCCTACCATTTTTCTGGAACAGCAAGGCAGTCTGCGGAAGTTGAGGCGACGGATGCGTTAGTTAGAACAGCTGCTGCAACAATTTGGCGTTCGGCGAGTCAGAACTGCAGGTGGGTGGAGAATCAATACTAGCCAATCGGTAATCCGCAGTACATCCAGCCCTCTGCGCCGGGTGAGTGACCATCAAACACCTTAAAGACATACTCTAGTACTTTCTCTAGAGATCTCTAACACAATATGCACTATGCACACCTTAAATGTGCGATGTGGGTAGACCGCCAACTCCAGAGAATAACAAGCCTCTTTTATGTGAAAGTTCGTTCCTTCGAGTCGTATCCTATCAACCATTTCATGATACTCACCAACACTGCACTAATACGAATAAAGCCGACTCAACGAACACAATGATAGGACAACATATTACAAGTTGCGAATAACAGTAAGACGTTCAATTGATCGGCACCTGATTGCTACCAACGTGTTCCACTCAACAACCGCTATACCTCCCAAGACCTTACTTCCAAGCCGAAAACTACCATTCGTACTTCCCAAGATCAAAACCGCCCTGAGCTGTCAGTCAGCTTCGAAACTACCATGTATATTCCTCAAGGTCATGAATTAGTAGGCACAGCCCCTCCTAGAAGGCATCACTAACATCCGCCTCTCCATTTATGTTTCGCAATGAACCCTCAGCAAGATCAACCCTCAGCTGGGCCGTTTCTGCCTCACGTTCAAGACTGTCCCATTCCCTGAGTTTCTGTCTCTTCGCGTCCTCTTTCTTATCAATCATCTCCCTCAACTTTTGAGCCTCTGCCTCGAGCTTCAAGATCTTGCTCTTGTCGTACAGTTCAGGGGCTCTCTGACCCCCGGGAATCTCCTTGGGGAGGTCGGAAAGATGGTCTCGGAACCGCATTGTACGAGGGTAGGTCGTAGCAGTCGAGTTGTTAGACCCGCGGAACGAAGGAGCAAAAGGTGCCGCTCCACCAGGGCCGCTGCTGGAACCGCGTGGGCCAGATGGCGCACCGCCGTAGTAGCCTCCTCCTCGCGGACCTGCACCCCAAGACCCTCGTCGTGAGGATGGACCAGAAAAGTCTCCTCGTCCTTCGTATCCTCCAAACCCACCACGACCACCACCTCGCGGTCGTGTTGGCGCTGCTAGCACAGGGTTGTTGCCCCGAGGAAAGGCAGGAGGTTGTGATGCCAGGCTTGACGGGCCAGCGGGAGGCGAAATCGCAGGGGAGGGATAGCTCCGGCTGGAAGGCCCTGTTGGTGGAGCTCTGGCAAAGTTACTGTCACCATTGCGGTATGAAGAGGAAGATGGTCCAGTAGGCGGCGCAAAGTCCCTATCTCCGCGCGGTCCCGTAGGAGGGCTTTCCCGACGGCGTGGAGGCGAACGCTCTCGCTCGCGACTGTAGTCCCGTCCTCTGTCGGGGAGGCGCTCACGGAACGGCGATCGCGGTGCTGAGACGGGCTCTCGAGCTGGTCGGTCTTCTACCAGTGCAGCCCGGCTAGGATGGATAGGTGGCGGGGAAGAGCGACGAGACGTTGCCGCAGAATCCCTACCCGATGCATCATTTGAAGCGTAAGTCGGTCGCGCAGGCGAAGGGGACCTACGACTTCTCCAGGTATCCGCAGTGTAAGGGTCAGGACGGTCGCGCCTTGGAGAGGGCGAGCGGCGTCGGTAGTCGCGTGTGTCCCGAGTGTCGCGGAGAGGGGAGTAGCGGCGAGGAGGGGGGCTTCAAACAGATTAGCAAGTGAAATGGCATTGCGCTGGGCTCAGGACAAACCTGTTTACTCGAGAGCGCGGCTCTTCGTACCGGCTCGAACGGACAGGCGAACGCACGCCACGGCTCCTGGCTGGAGAAACATCGCGCTCTCTGGGCGGTGGAGACCTCTCGCGTGGGCGTGGAGAGCGAGTGTACGAGTCGTACTGATCGCGATCTCGTCGCGGTGGCGGCGACCTTGCCCTGTAGTCATCCCGTCTAGGTTCGTCCCTTCTAGGTTCGTCCCGTCGCGGTGAGAATGCTCGGCGAGGTGGTGATCGAGGACGTGCCCTCCAGTTGTCATCGCGACGTGGGCTTCGAGATCTTCTTCGGAAAGCTGGCGACCGACTGCGAGGACGCGACGAGCGGCCACCAGGAACATATGTATCAGCCGATGCTATACCGCGGCGAATGGGTGAGACACGGCGAGGAGGCGAACTGCGACGGGGAGGAGGTGAGCGTGCTCGATAGCTGTCGCCGCGTGGAGAGCGTGGACGTGGGCCAGGGGAACGAGGACGGTATGTGTTGGAGTACCTATCATCTCTATGTGGGTGTTAGTAGATGCGCTCGTATTAGATCCCGCGTGTCTGGTAGGGTATTTGCTCGTCGCAGCCTAGGCGACAACTGGTTTGGAGTCGACAAACCTTCGGTCTCCTCGGTCTCTGTCTCGCTCACGATCCCTGTCCATCTCTGCAATCGAGGCGATATGTTTGGCCGATCGCAGCTAAGTAATACCAAGAGATGCGCTGGTAGAGATTAGTCGGGGTGGACAGCTAATAGCTACGGTTGCTGCGTGGTGGTGGCTGCTCGTGTGTTAGGTCGCAAAAAGTGAAGTTCAGAGCCAAGCCCTGCGACTGGACGCGTTCCTTTGTCACGTGCCGGAAAGCGTCCACGCTTCAGCCGCTGCTCATTCACAGTATGCAAACAGCGAAAGTGTGTCTTACCCTAGTTGCTCGCCGGACATAAGATCGAAGACGAGGGTAGCGAGTGCGGGTGTGCGGTAAATCCAGCGTTGTGTAAGTGGTACTTCAAAGAAGATTTGATGTCTTCTTTCCCTTGCGTATCCCACCATCGCTTCGTCGTCTTTCCATGGCCGGCTAGGTATTGACATGGAAGCCCACATCCAGCTCCTCAGTACGGACGTAGTCTTTCCGTGTCTATCTTTCAAACCTGAGGGTATGCCATCCCCAACTCACGCTTTCAGCTCGTGTCTTTCACATCCCTTGCTTTGTGTGTCGCATCCTTCGGGACTTTTGTTACAGCGAGGCGTACTACCGCCTTCGCAGTCAGTATGCAATTCTTCCATCAGTCTTGTCCTTGAAATTGGAAAACTCTTCATCTTGATTATGTTCAACTGCGGTCAGCCTTGGCTGCCGCATGTAACGCCGTATCCCAATGCTGAATATGCCGAAGCCCTACTGACCCTTGACATCCGTGACGCCCGCTCGCTCATAGAGCTCTTGAGAATGCAACCCGTAATCTTTTGTACAAAACACATGTCCTCTACGGACTCTTAATCAACAGACCTAGCGCTTGGTCTTTCGCTCATCCTCCCTCTTCGCACGCTTCCTGCTCTCCTGATTGATCATGTCCGCCAAGTCATCTTGATCGATACTCTGCCATTGCCCTTGTGCTTCGGCTCTTTGCCTTGACTCATACTCTTTCTTTAGCGCGTCCTTGTCAAGCTTATCGCTATCTGCCAACTGATCAACGTCGACAGAGACGTCAATGTCCCCAGCCTTACGCTTCCTCTGTGCGTTGCCGAGCGCATCGCGCCTAGCTGCGTCAAGATCATAAGCGTGCTCGCCGCCGAAGAACCCAGTCGCCGAAATATTCTTTTCGGGAAGCACTGTACCTGCGCTGCGTGGGATGCCCGGCTCTTCCGTCTCGATTCCTTTCCGCTGCTTTCGGAGCTGGAATTCTCCACCAATGCTCTCTGCACCTCCAATCTCTGATGGCATGGCGGATGCTGTTGTCATGGATGTCTGAATACCAGACGCGTCTTCGTCACCCCCCTCCTCGTCCTCGTCCTCATCCTCCTCTTCTTCGTCACTTTCCTCGTCTTCGCTCTCGCCCTCGGCTCGTAGTGCTCCCCAGATACCGCGCTCTACAGGCTCACCGACGTGTGTTGGTTGCTGCTGCTCTTCCAATATGGCTGTCCCGTAAAGATCGCCTCCAAACTGTGGCTTACCAGCATCGTCGATAGGGGGTTTGCCCCACTGGCCAGGCTGGAACCCCCAAGAAGAGCCAGGTGGGATAGGTGCGTTTACACCAGGGACGCGCATGTTGGGGTAGGATGGCGGAGGGCCGAAGCGCTGCATGTTGATGAGCCAAGGTGGCGGATGGCCTGGAGCCATTCCGAGTGCCTCCCGGAGCTCCTCACTCAGCTCACCAGGCTTGAGGTTCACCAGATTGGTCTCGAACTCCTTGCCCTCGTAGTAGACCTCGCCATATCGCGTCAACTCTGGCTTCGTTTGTCGCCTGAAGAAGGCATCGTATAGTTTCGCGTAGTCGATATCGAGCTTGCCGAGCTTTCCTTGCACGCGTTCTCGCTGCTTTTGCCTCATCGTCATGTCTGCTTGCTTCTCTAAAACCGCATCTCGCATCTCTGCAATGCCTGTCTCCTGGATAAACTTGGGCAGGGCAAACGGAGGCTTCTCGATACCACGTTTCGACGAGAGATATTCGCGTTTGAGCGACCAGTGGGTCGGAACTGGTATGACATTCTTCGCTCCCTTGATCGAGATTAGCAACTGGGGATTGGAAGATGACACATCCGTCCACTCGACCAACTCAGGCCTGGGAACCAACGACTTGAGTTGCGCGACCGACAACTTGTTCATCTGCTTCCTCTGCTTCTTGGAAAGCTTGGGCTTCCCATCGTCCTCGTCCTCGTCAGGGATGTCGTCGTCGGAGAGATAGATTTCTGGCTTCTCCTCGTCCTTGGTCGCCGCCTCCTCCTCTGTCGGCTCCCTGAACTTTTCGAATACGCTCTTGTATTCCTCAAACACGGGGTCGTCAAGGTCGTATTGGTTTGCGATGTCGTCAACGGTGAGAAGGTTCGCGGGCTTGACCGCCTGTGCTTCGTTATTGCTGTCGCTTTGTGGTGCGGGAGATTCGCTCTCACGCGCAGAGTCACCGGCTTCCGATGGGGTCTCCTGTGGCTGATCAGTACGATGGCTTGGGAGACGCGAAGCGATGCATGTGTGCTGCTTACAGAGCGCTGTTGCTTCTTCTTTGCCCGGCGATAGGCGTTCTTGTTCGCCTGCTTCTTGCCCTTTGCAGTTGCGCCTGACATGGCGGCGGTGATTGCGCAGCGCGACGCTTGGACTTGTGTTAGATGTGACGGTATGCGCGATCTTATGCGTAGATGCCAATCGCGCGATGTCGGTGGGCGTCAAGGGTGGATGCGCGACGAGTGGAGGTGGAGGTTGAAGTTGCTGAGCTCGCGCGGAAAGATTGAGCGACTGTCTTGGCGCCCCAAGTGTTCACCCCGACCGAGCCAACGGGCAGCAGTCTCGAATCACGCACACCAAGACCTGTGCTCATAACATTACATACTGCTCACATGGACATGTACAGCGATATGAGATACCCTGGTTAACCACTGCTTTGTATACTAATATAGGCTCAGAGCTCTGCGTCGGCCAAATCTACGTGCTGCTCAATAGAGACTCTACTACGACCGATCGTCACCCTTGAAGACATGGTTCCAGAATCCGCGGAAGTGCTTGTTCTGTCCGATCTCGTTGATGTCCTTGACCTCCCTTGGTGTCAACTTGAACGTAGTTGCCCTCAGATAATCACTCAGTCTCTGCTCCTTCCCGCTTGTCGTGATCGGCACAATGTCCTGATCCATGCACCACCTGAGGTAGATTTCATTCTCGCTTACCGCATATTTCTTCGTCAGCTTCTCCACGTAATCGTCCAGTGGGCCAGGCTTGGCCTTGGTAGCAGGAGTTAGAGGCGCGTAGGCGGTCGTGGCGATGCCGTTCTGCTTGTGGAATTCCAGAAGCTCCGGGCGTTGCAAATAAGGGTGGAGCTCGATCTGATTGCACACGGGTTTGACTTTGGCAGTCTTGAGAGTTGCGGCAAGATGGCTGGGAAGGTAGTTGGAGACGCCAATGGATTTCGCGAGACCAGACGCTTGCACGGCTTCCATGTCTGCCCATGCTCTCTGGAGGTCTTCGTCTGAGCCTGCGAACCAGGGCTGGTGAATGAGGTACCTATGCTTGTTAGCATTGAGTCTACCTATCCATTGGTTTTACATAACTTACAGATCGACGTAATCTAGTTGCAACTTCTCCAAGCTGGTCTTGATAGCTCCAGCAATGTTGTTGATGTTGTCATTGTTCACCTTGGTAGTAACGTACAACTTCTCACGCGGGACACCACTTTCTTTGATGGCTGTGCCGAGTTCAGTCTCGGTCTTGTAGACTTTCTAGCATCAGTAAAGCCCTCAGATTTAAGAATGGCGCTGTAATCACCCTCTGCACCGTCAAGATGAGTGTACCCCAACTTGGTTGCGATCTTGACTGAATCAATGATAGCCTGATCTATCTTGCTTTCCTCTCCAGTCTTGAACCAGGCGGTGCCGGTACCATAGCCGAGCATTGGCATTGAGGTTCCGTCGTTGAGTTTCAACTTAGGAATGGTGATGTTGAGGTTGGCCATTGTTGCGAATGCCTGTGTTAATGGTAGGAGGGGTAATCTTGGGCAGTGTGACGAAGTGTGATTGAGGCTGAGCTGACGTCGAAGGTAAGAGTTGATGCTTCTTGAGTATTTGAGCATCAAGTAGGCTATAGTGTGATATTGATCAAGTTAAGTTGTGTTACGTGATCCTTGATAGCTGCGCGTGTTTCAATGCCGAAGGTGGGGTTACGATGCTGGCAAGCGACGTCACCACGTTCGCCGTGCCCCGGAGCCCGATGTTTGTTGTGCATGTTGTTAGCCCACCTCTGAACTCGGGATTTGCATCGTTGTTGTAGAACGATTGTCAATTGCGTATAGCCGAGTATTTCCGTAACCTTGTAGCTAATCGCTTCCTAGGTGATACTCATGCATGTCAGACGCGTTTAAGCCACATCGCACTAGCCACAGCAGAGCAGCAACAAACCTAAGGAGAGTTTTCTACAGGCTTCAAAGGGAAACGGAATGCAGTGCAACTCTACCAGTGTTGCACTTGACCGTGCAATGCCCACGTCGTGTTGGATGTGTTAAATTGAGATAAAGTTGCTTGTCATAATCAACACGTCGCCCCTGGCATACAGGTGGACTTCCTAGATGTTCTACAATCCCCTGATGTTCGCATCTATCCTAAACAGGTATGAATACAAATATACTTCCAGAACCCAACCATGAACAGTGACTAGGAATCAGGAGTGCCGCCAAACGCCCTCTACTGACCCCCGCAGTGTTGCAGAGAAGGACCAAACCACGCTCACGATGGCGTAATGTTGGATCGCTAACGTGGTAGTGAAGGCCCGGTATGGTGAAGATGCTATGTCATCTTCTCATGCTGAATCTTCTCGTGCTGTGTTGACACCCTTTGCAGCGAAACAACTAGATGTGGTTAGCGACTGTCCTGTCTCGGATACAGAGAACCATCATGCTTACCAAAGTCTTCAAGGTTCCTCTGCTTTTGCTTTCTCTTGAGAAGCTTTCCGTGCATGAGGTTGTCGAAGCCTTGACTGCCTTGCAAAATGTAATACACTCCTGCCATAATACAAAAGATACCGAAGGAAAAGGCCCAGACACGGACCACGGCAACAATGTTTGTTCTTCCACCCACAAACCACCCGAAAATGGTAAAACACGTAGCAAGGATGTCGACAACCAGGATCGCCCCGGCGAGTTGCCATGAAGGAATCGATGACCAGAACGGGCCATTGGCGCGGGTGATGAAAATCAGCCAGTTCTCAGTCAATGTAATCTCGAGGAACAGGATTGGGTCGCGCTGGCCATGGTTCTGAACAATGCCACCTTCGACACGCTGCTGCTCGCCAGTAAGGTAAGGCAGCATGGTTGTCATTGTGATCCAAGTGCCTACAGCCAGAATGACGCCAAGGAGGATTGACATTCCCCAAAGTTTTGGCAGGTTCCATTTGACCGGAGTTCTGCTGTACGGTGCATTATCGTAAGCGATAGCCAAGGTCGCTGCAATTCAGTCAGTACATGCATACTAGAACCCAGGAAGCAAGTCTTACCAATATCAGCGAAGATAGCAATGAACACTACCAACTGTAGGTTTAGACTCTCGTTGAGGATAGCGATCCAAAGACCTAAGAATATCTCGAGGTGCAGTGACAGAGCGATGCGGTAGACAACGTAAGCGTACATGCGATGGAAAATCTGGCGTGACGTTTTGAGGGCGTCAATGATAGCAGAGAGGCCAGGGGCAAGAAAAACGATGTCGGCAGCGGAGCAAGCAGCGTCGGAAGCGCCTTGCACAGCGATACCAGTATCTGCTTTTTTCAACGACGGCGCGTCGTTCACACCATCACCGGTCATCGCGACAAGGTATCCTCTCTGTTGTAGAATTTCTACAACGTTGTACTTGTGCTGTGGGAACACTTCTGCAAAACCATCTGCACCTTCGACGAAGTCGTAGAACTCCGAGCCAGGCATCTCGCCACCTCCACTCAATCCGAGTTTTTCAGCATCGAATATGTTGGTACCTGCATCCAAAGTTAGTAATGGGCTACGCGTGACAAGTGTTTGTTCTTACCTAGACCAAGCTGGCGTGAAGTTTCTCGCGCAATACCAACGGCGTCCCCAGTCAACATCTTGATTGAAAGGCCCAAAGACTTCGCCTCGTTAATCGTACGATATGTGTCATGGCGTGGAGGATCTGAGCATGGCATGATGCCCAAGATTTCCCAACGTTCATCTTCCCGTTTGCGAGCAACACCGAGTGATCGAAAGCCGCGCGTAGCGAACTCTGCAACCTTGTTCTTGTAGGCCAATTCGACCTCGTGTGGGACGGAACCATCTTCTTCGACAGTCCGAAGCACAAAAAGAGGAGCGCCTTTGACGCATGTTATGCGTTCGCCTTGAGGCGACTCAACGACAGCCTGGACTTTCTTGGACACTGGATCGAACGGATGGAAACGGATGCATTTGTACTTGCTCAGCACATACTTGGCACGCGGATAGTGGCGTAGAGACTTGAGAAAAGCTTTGTCGATAGCATCGATGCCCTTCTTCTTTCTTGACGCTGCTAAGCAGGCAGTAAGCATAAGGTCCTCTGGATCGACACCTTGAACGGTATATGGCTCAGCCAGCGAGAGCTTGTTCTTTGTCAATGTTCCAGTTTTGTCAGAGCACAGGATCTCGACACCCGCAAGCGATTCGATGGCGGAGAGCTTCTGCACAATGGCTTGTTTCTTCGCCAGATACGCCGCTCCCACTGCCATAGTTGTAGTGACAACAGCAGGAAGGCCGACCGGGACTCCGACTATCGTGATCGCGAGTGTGAACCGGAGGATAGTGACGATGTCGTTGGATCGATAGAAAGAGCTTATCCAAACGACCAGCAATGATACAATGACCAGAACCAGAAGAATCGTCCCAATGCCGTGCAATACTTGTGTGAAGTGACCGGGTCCGCTGGAGGCGCTGGCAACAAGTGATGCCGCACGTCCAACAAACGTCGAGTCGCCTGTAGCTGTGATCACGACAAAAGCCTCGCCGCGTTTCACCGCAGAAGACGCGTAACAGGTATCTCCACGGTGTTTGTCGACAGCCAGTGATTCTCCAGTGATGGAGGACTGGTCAACCTGCACAAAGGCATTCTCCGTAACGATGCGTCCATCAGCTGGAACAATTACACCCTCCTCTACTTGCAGGATATCGCCGGGCACTACGTCTGGTGCTTCGATCTCAACCAAAGTGCCGTCGCGCAATACGGTAGCCTTCAAAGCTAATGTTTTCTTCAACTCTTCGACGATGGAGCCGGCTTGATACTCTTGGATGAAGCCAACACTTGCGTTCAGGAGGAGCAAACCACAGATGACGCCAAAGTCAACCCAGTCTTGGAGCCCTGCAGCAAGGATTGCAGCAGCTTCCATGACGAACTGAATTGGACCAACGAAAAACATCAGAAACTTTACCCAGTTATTTGTTGACTCCTCTGCACATAGTGAGCAAACGCGAATCAAGGGATAAGATAGTTGGTACCTTTCATCTTGTTCTCGCCGAACTTCTTGCGCCGTATCAGTACTTCAGCCGACGTCAAGCCAGTGCGTGTGTCGGTCTGCAAGAGTTCCTCCGGAATCAAACGCGCACCGCCTGGTTGTTGCGCTTCCTCCTCTTCGTAGTCGGCATTTTCGCCATCTTGTGACTCAAGGTCTTCGATAAGTTGATCTATATCCTCGTCTTCTTCTTCATCATCCAACTCGATGCCTTGCATGTGGATATTCTTTTCCTGAAAATGATACTTGTCGTACGTCCGGCCATTTGATGGATAGATGCCGTCGCGATCCGGGGATGTACCGGTCGGTGACTGTCCTTGGTCAGTTCTGATGTGGATGTGCGGCGTGGCAAGCTAGTCATGAGGCTGGCAGCCAACTTACTTCGGACATATTGAATGTCGAGCTAGTCGCTAGCAATGTTATACGTTGTGCGTGGTTTGCTAATATGAAGTGGTACAAAGAATGCTAACAAGAGGTCCCGGCCTGGCACAAGATGCATGAACCTATACTGCAAGTGCATCTGACGATACTGTTGAATAGTGGTGTAAATGGCCAATGCGCGTTCATCTGTAGAAGGAACTCCGAGGCATCGTTGCGCAGGCGAGGACTTCAAAGCGCGCAGAAACGACTCTGGACCTGGCTACGACACGTTATCGCGCTGGGAAGCACAGTCGCGATGGCGCAACGTAACTGTTGCCGCCGAGAGTGCCTGTGAAAACGGCCGATATGGGTTGGGACGACTCCAGAGTGTTGTGCGAACCCCACGGTCGTGATGAGGCCACAAGGACGCGCATGATCAGTCTAGCCTATTTAGAAGTTAAGGGTCATGGTCACGTCGAGAACCAGTTGCCAAGATAAAGTGGCCAAGTTTGTGGGATGGGAGCTGCGGCCGGGCGAGCTGCCCAGGTGAGCATCCGTAAGATTAGCCCAACCCCTTGGGTTAGCGCATTTGGCTTCGCAATCTGCCATCTGCACGTATCCACATTACGTTTGTTTAGACAACTCTCATCAGGCCAAAACTGCATCGCCTGGGAACCTCAGTCTGTACTGCCCTCACCGTGTAGGCGGCATCTGTGATGTTCTATCTTGGTAGTGGTTCTGGTCCTTCGCGAGAGGTTTCCCGCGGTTGTTTTTTAAACTCATGGCTAGCCTGGTCACTTCGCGTCACCAAATTGACCATTCCCGGGGATGAACTTCTTTACGTCACGTTTGCGGAAATCACTACGCACCCACAGATAACTTGCAAAACTCTGATCATTGATTTTGATATTTCCGGGTGTTTGAACAGTCCCCACCAAAGGGCGCAGCTCAATGCGCGCGATGACAATGCTGAGTGATGCGACAGCATCCTCTTCTCTCGACGCATCGCAATGGAGATTGGCTTCTCGGCCAGTTGCTGTCCCGTTTAAACAGACTCTGGTTGAAGAATGCTATGGTTTGTATGGAGGCAAAGTCAATATAGCCTTCGTGCTATCTGAATGCATGTCAAGTTCCGTTCATGTGTCAAATATCTAGTCATTCAAGAAAGCGTAGCCCAAGTCATGTCCCAGGGACAGCTCCGCCTATGCCGTGGAGACATGTTACCCGCTGCAATGTATGCGTGTCAGGCGAAACCAGTCCTTGACTTCTGCTGTAATCGTCCTTCCTCCGGGTAGAGACTTCTCTAATGGGCTTCAGCGAATATACAAAAGACTTTCTTGACCAAGGACTCCAATTAACTTTTATGTGGCTTTAAGTAGTCCGAAAAATGCTCCAAGGGAGCATCGAACAGAGTTGTCAGTCCTGGACTCTAAACCAAGCGTTATGCTTTTGTAGCAATCCTCAAAAGTGATGACAAGGTACCGGTCAATTCATCGTCAGCCCAGATTCAGTCATGATTCTATTGCTTGGAACCGAACCAGAATCGCTGGTGCACGGTCTCTGGAATTGGTTGCCCCAATCCGCCCTCAACACTGTAGCCTACCTGAGCCTTCTAGACAACATGAAGAGGCCCGTGATGCTCTCTTGTCGCTAGAGAAGGCTACATGACCAATGCGCTGTATGCAGCACATTATTGTCTGATCTTAGCTGTTAGCGACCTAGGGTTCCTGTCTACAGACGACGCACAAGATCGCTAAGAAAGCCCGATGTGGCCGGATGATCCGCCTGTCGAAATACAGTTCCTGCCTTCGTCATCGCGAGCCAAGGCGCCTCTCCACAAGAAGCGACTTGATCAGAGCGACTCCAGACTGCCGAGCATAACGTTTTTCACTGCACGCATCGTAGCCGATCTATCAGATCACTTACGAATATCTCAAAAAGAGCTGCAATGCTTACATTAGCTTCCTCAACAGCTCCTTAGCTCACGGCCGGGCGCTTTGTCGCGTCTCCTCCATCACGAACCAACGTTCGCGAATCGATGTTGTCACCGAGATGCAAGGGCATGAACACTGCGACCCCTCGAGGTGCTGTACGCGGCTCCCGCGTGACTTGACGCTGGCTCGACTGCTCAAGTTGAGGTTCAATTCCGGCGACTTCAAAGGTTTTCGGCTTGTCTTTGGACAGGACGTCCAAGTGAACGATAAGCAGTGATACAGTGGAATCCCTGCCTCAGTCTTGGCCTCTTCTACTTGTTTGCCGGAGATGCAAGCTAAGGACAGAAAGAGAAAAGGGGCTGTCCGAGTGAATTCAGCGAAGGTCGCGGATGGACGGCTTGGATACTTCGTACTGGGAATACATGATGCACAATGCACGCCTCACGAGGTTGCCGAGTATGTGTGCTCACCTGGAGAGTCGAATGGCATTACGGCCAAGAGACTGAACGCACTTAGTAAGTTTGTCAAGAACAAAAGAGATACTCAAAATCTGGTGGGGCGGTGCTCGTGCGCGGGCCGAGGACAGCGTGACAGCTTCGCGACCACGCGCCGACGCTTCTTCTTTCCATTGGAAACCTCACCAATCTGACAACCCAAGAAACCTCCAACTTTGATCCTCTGGCTCGCATCCCAACTCCAGCTATTATGCTGTTTAAGGTCTCCGAACTCTTCTCTGAGTTATGAAACCTGCCACGATTATTCACTTACTCTGCAGTTGCCAGCCACTCTTCATGGATCTTTGTAGGATGCCTCATTTACTCTGTTCTCCGCTGAAGAAGTCGTGATACTTGGAATAGTGTATCTTGATGCCAGTAGGTTTCTTCCTGTCCCTTATTGAATGTAACGTTCCGTAACTTTCACCCTTCCAATCAAGTCTGCGTCGGAACCATCCGCTTGGTTGACTATTACGTTTCTACAAGGGCTTTGTTATACTTTTTTGGCCATTACAATGCTCCAGGGGCTTTCGAATACCCGGTCAACGACGCGCTGCTCTTTAGATTCAATGATTATTGATCACACACTATCCGGACTGCACTGCTCCAACAAAGGGCTCCTTTGAAGCGCATGATCTTCCTTGATTCTACAAGCTTCACTGAAGAAGATGCCACATTCCTTAGGAACCTGGGCGAGTTCCGACACTTTGTGTACTTGGAGGCCAAGCAGTGCTTTGTGTTTCCCTCCAAGATTCGGGGCATCGGACAGAACCGCAAGGATCACAAAGCGCTGCTGGAACACTTCCTGAAGTCTCTCAAGACACTGAAACTCCATGGTTTTACTTGTACAATGGCGCTTATGGTTCTAAAGTTGGCTGCAAAAGGCCAATGCTGGCCTAAGATGGGTACTCTACAACTGACTTACCTCCCACGTAAGAGGAAGCTCTATCGCCTTCGCTCGGAAATGAGTGAACTTGTCAAGAGCAGTGAAGACTGAGGTATCGGTGTCCATGTTAAAGAGAACTAAAGTTGGTGGCCTGCAAGGAAGTCGTCTTGTAACTGATGAGATTTGAGCCCCTTAGTGGAGTTGCTCTTTAGGCATGAGAGAACGACGTGTCGCCTTCGCCACAATCTTTTCACGGGATTGAGAACTAAGCGTGCGATTGTCTTAGGTAAGCGAGGGATGTAAGTCTTGACGGTAATCAGGCAAGTTCTGGGGTAATTTTATCTGTTTATGCGACTTCGCGTCCACTGTTGCGACCAACATCGCCGGTAATGGGCATTCTTGTGGTAGGTAGTAGTAATTTGGCATCATCTCATGGTCCTGAGGCTATTCAGTACCACATTTTTCACTTGTCACGTAGAATGGACCGGGTGTGTTTTGTGACAATGTTACAAGGTTGGCCTACCATATCCTTTGGAGAAGCAAAACCCGGTCAAGAATTCCATTAACGAACAAGGTTACGGACGCCGACGTCATGGCTCATCATTGCAAGTGGACATACAAAAGCAAATACTAAGGGGTGTGCAGGGAATGTTGCGTTCTTTAGTTATGGCGATCTGGACACAATGGCAGACAGCATGAAGAGCAAGAACATCTTTTTTGACGCGCAACGCTTTTTAGAGAATGAAAGCGGGAACTGCCATTCATCTGGTGTTCAAGGGAAAAGTAAGCTTGTTGGAATGGCATGGATCTAGGAACTTGATGTTTTGTTTTGGAGTTTTCACAACGTGCAGAGCAAAAGTGTCGACACTCGGTTGAGCTAGGAGGTCTGAAGACACAGATAACGCATAGCACGCCATCTCACTACTGTTTAGTAAAGTGTTATCTTCTCCCACTGTTGATGCAAGTTATTCGGTGACTATCGCACGATAGTTAATGTGGAGATGTATCCATAGTATACTTCGAGCGAAGGTAGCATTCCGGCGGTTATTGCGGCATGTGGCCCAAAGCCGGGCCCAGAGAGCTTTTTGGTCGAACGTCGAGAGACTGCCGCTAGCATGACTACCTAGGTACCTATGTACCTAGGTATTGTTAAGGTTTCGTCAATAATCTCACAACCTGCATCTTCGAGTGTTTCTTTGGAAGCGAACAACGAATTCCTCTATGCGTAACATCGTCCGATTCCATTACGCCCTGCGCGCATCCCGACAGATCTGGGCGCATGTAGTATGCGGCTGAGAAGCAAGGCTGCGTGCTTGGCACGAGCTAGCACCAAACCAGCCACACCACACTCTTTCAAGCGCGCTACCCCTTCGCCAACACCATTGGCCCACCTGAGCAACAACCAATTCCGGCATCACAACGAATAATGCGTCGGAGACAGGTGTATTGCTGTGAACGCCATCGGAAGCCCCGCAGGCACCGGACGATTAACAACGTGCCGTCATCAAAGAAGGCTAATGAATCACAACGCCTGGGACACATGGTGTGGGGCGTAGGGCTGGCGTGAGGGTTCAATCAATGTTAGTCCAAAGACGATCTGGTTGGTAGCTGCTGACCTTTGCATGATGATAGCGCCTAGACGTTGATGTTGGTCCACAACAAGACTGTTGTGGCGTCGCTGGAAGATGCAATTGTTGACCTGAGAGCCTTGCTATGGCTAGCTGTACCAATTCTCCAAAATATCGGTGCGGTAGAGGTGCCGCTGGCAACGTTTTGGGCGCTTGATCCCTAGGTATATCATGCACCCATTTCTTTTGCCGAAACCTCCTGGCGACTGGACGATCTCCTAACACGGAGTTGGAAGCAAACGTTCATAGCAGGCCATCGGCACTCCACTCTCTCTTTTCGACAACTCCCTGCCCAACTTTCACTACCATGAAACTGTTCACCTACGAAGCCTGGGGTGTACCCAGGGCCGGCTTCGACACATCACACTCATTCGTTCGATCTCACTTCATCTCACCAATCACTCTCGCATGTATCCGCGCCCTACTAAGCTTATACTGCTTCACGACAATTATAACATGCTATTCCTGGCTGGCGCACGAGACAGCCACAATTAAGCTCAAAGATGTCAACATTGGATCCTACACCATCCAGCAAGGCGACGCAGCTATCGGACAATCATTCAGTTTCTTCACATACCTTACTTTCTGGTCACTTGGCTTTTACTTCCTCGTATCGAGCGTGCATACCTTCATGTACGCGTTCCGGCAGAGGACATGGCTACACGACTGGCCTAAATACCTGCAGCTGTTGCATAGCATGTACTACTCCACCATGACTTCGTTTCCGTTTCTAGTCACGATTGTCTTCTGGGGTACCATGAACTCTGGATGGCCAGCCGGACGGTTTGAACAGTGGATCAACATATCTGTCCATGGCCTCAACAGCGTCTTTGCTGCGACTGAGATCGTGCTATCGGCTACCGAACCATTGCCGTGGCACCATCTATCCGTTGTCCTTGGGGTCCTGTCGGTATACCTCGGCCTTGCGTACCTCACTCGATATGCGCAAGGGTTCTATGTGTATGAATGGATGAACCCAGCTCACGGCAACGTTAGCATCATTCTTCATGTCTTGGGATATGCCGGTGGAATGATTGCACTGTTTTTGCTAGCAAGATACGCAATGGTTGCGAGGAATATGCTCGCACAGAGACTACAAGACCAAGATGATACTGAGTATGGTGAGAAAGGAATCCAGCTCGATGATCGGTCTGACACTTGGTCGGCGAAGGTCGGGGTGGTCAAGCCGACGCCTATGCGCGTGCAAAAGAAGCCAGAGGCAATTGTTTCGGAAGTCTAAGAAAAGGGAGTTGAACTAAAATCCAAGTCTAATTACAACATGTTTCGTCAATTCGTGATAGCGTTTCGCGTAATAGTGTATCCTCGGCCCAAAATAAATTCGCATTGATGCGATGTCACCAGGCCGTCACAAGCTTACTTTTCTGTTACATTGCACACCTTTGTTTGGCGCATCCAATAACTGTCTAGCAATTAATTGGTACCATCACCCGGCTCAAGACCGTACAGATGTGTATGCTCCGACTGGTGTAGCGCACTGTAGCTTCACTAATTAGAAGGGTATGCCATGTGGAGGGAGGTTCTCAAATACTGGTGCGCAGAAGCAATGCTGCAGCTATGAAAGATCAAACAGAAGACATAGAGTGACAGGGAATCCAATGTGGAAGCAGGCGGCCTAAGGCCCAACGATGAGGGGCTGATGGAGAGTGATATACCCTTAGGCCGTCCACATTATGATCTTCCAACCTTAAATCTTGATCTGATGGAAGAGAGTGAGACAGAGATCAATACAACAACGTGTCGCATGCGACTGAGCCAGCGGCCATTGCGGCTACTCGCATGCACATCGCCGAGACGGTGCTGAAGGCAGTCCTAGGACCGTGTGTACTCACCGTGGCTTTGTTGTTCAGACATTATTCATGATATCGTTGCGCTAGACTTGCAGTCGCTGAACTACATGGTGGGCTACTACGCCTTGATGCTGCGACCTGTGACCGCCTACATCTGATCTACTGTACGTACTCAGGTATGTACGGAAGATGTGTTCGCTACTACCTCCATACTGACTGCACACATGATGGAGTGAATATGTTTCCAAATAAACAGCTCTTGTGGTCAACCGAAACGGTGATACACGATCGGGCAGAAGTATGCTATAAAGAGTGGTAGAAGTGTGCAGTGCCTGTGTCAGATTTATCGTAATCTCGGTGTTTGCGGATGCAGGCCCGCCACGGAAGCGAAGGAAGCGATCAGGCGAGCACCGTGACGCCCTGAGTGGGCGTTTCCAGGTGTTTTACATCGCAGATGACAATCTCAGGGCCATGGTTCCAAAGTAGAAAGCGATAAGAGAAGTCTGCCTTACCGCTGAATGTCACTGAGAACCATGGCCAAAGAGTCATTTCTCAATCGACAACAACAGGCTTTTGTGACGCTTCTGGCATATGACAACCTAATAGTGACAACAAAGGGGGTATCGATGCTGCATTGTTGTCACTGCAGCTGAAAACAGCACGAAACGATGGAATGACGGGCTGATGTCATGGGTTGTTTTAATCGATGCGCATCAGCACCTGTGCGTTTCTGTGGCTCAGTATTCACCGACCCTAGCGAAAAGCTAATTCTAGGAACAAACTTACTAGAGAAAAGAAATTCAAAATCGGAGGATACTCACCATGACCATTGACAAGGTGCAGTGTTGTCGAAGGCGATCCTGATGGTTGGGGATAGACAACGGTGGGCAAAGACAGGGTTGTGTGGCAGCCTCGGTTGCTTGCCACGTTAGAGTTTAGCGTTTCCTACATCTAAAATTAGGGGAGGCAGTGCACGCGTTCCGTCCTTTACCTGGTCCTTGATGATCGCTTCTCCCGTTATCCATTGCCACACATCCAACTCATTGCATACCCAGAGTAGGATTATTGCCGCTGGGCGCGTTCCCTCGGCACTATGATATCCCATGCGCTGAACGCTGAGGCGAGCGGCTGGCTGTACAGAGGTCAAGTGATCACGTACCGTCTTGAGCCTCACCGCTTGCAATTCGGTAACATTATGTTACCCATGCTCCGGGCGCTGAAAGGGGTCCTGATGTGCCGTACCCGTACTGAGCATGACGAGCCTCTCCGAAGCTTTGGCGTTTGGCCTGAAGAGTTAGGCCAGCAATCGTCTAAAAATCCTTTCAGATGATCCCAGATATGGACTGTCAAATTCACATCCATTTCCGTCGAGACCTGACCTTGAATTGGAATACTCTTGTATATTCGCCCCGTTGAGACGATTGGGACATGCACACTTCAAGCAGTCTGCAAATCCTTCTGTAAGGACACTCCCTTCCGACATCTACACACGGTAATCTAGCAACGGACGCCTTACCCCTGCGCCCGTTAACCACCGCCACCCTTTACCACGCCGCACTAACCTTTCCGACCATATACATCGCTCTTGTTCCACTGGTGATACCACCCGCCCGGGATGTCGGAAGCATAGAATAATTGGAGCTGTCAGATCTGCGAATCGGCTATCAGCATCGTTTAAACTCGCTCGAATACTACAGTCGTGCAGTAGCGCAACGCCATCAAGCCGCACTTAACCTCCACATTCAACACCAAGCTCTTAGGCCTGGCCTGCACACCCCTGCTTTCAGCCTTGGATACATTTGCATACGAAGCAGCTCTCTTTAGCATGCTACCCGACGCCCAGCTGCTGACGATCCCACCAACATCTTTCAACTATAAGCTTGCGGATTTACCGTCAACCAACAAGCTAGTCGCAGCTTCTAGTCCATTCTTCCTACACATCAACGCTAGCTCAACATACGTGGAAGATACAGAACATATGGCACACCACAATCACCGTTCCAGTCGAGTGCAGACCGAGAACGAGCTGTGGCTAAACATGCCAGCTTCCACAAGGCGACAACAAGAGCACGACTGTCGGCCAGAACGATCGGCGTATCAAACAACCTCGCAGCGGATTAGTGTATGCTCCAGCAGTGGAATCAACACGTCGATGATACCTGCTATCACAACCAGTTCGGACCTTAACAAACCACTCCCACCATCACCGTCCGGCCAAGATAAACGATCTCGCAAACCACCTTCCTTGCGCGGGTTTCTCCGACGCGAATCTTCAAGTCAGACAGAGTCAACCCATCTCCGACCCGGATCATCCCATCAAAACCGATACTCCACTAACCTAAATGTGGATACGAATGGTCATCATAGACACAACTACTCACGAAGCATGCCAAATTCTCCCTACGAGTTCAGCCAGTCCTCTCATCAGGATCCAGCAACCCTTCCTCGAGCACATTCCTCTGCGTCGGACTACTCAGACGTGGTGCAGTATCAGCCGTACTCTCCACTACCACAACACCAATACACTCGTCCTCAACAGCAGCGCGCGGTGTCAATGAACCCCTACTTTGAGACCACATCGCCTCCACGATCACGTACCTTTCCCGAAGCTACACTTGGCGTTACGACACGCGACAATTTTAACAGTCGGCCACGGCCACACACAACATGGGTGTCACCCACAGAGCCATTTACAGATGATTCTCAATTCCATCTATTTGCTGAAGCGATGACCGGACTGCCAAATGATGCCGAGCCTTTTTCACCAACCGGTCCACCACAGCTTCAGGGCTCACTTTTCGCTCGAAGAAGTGCTAATGACACCATTCCGATACCTCTGCAAAATCCCCAGTATTTGTCAAGAACACAACCGACACGACGGCCTCATAGAGAGCAGAGAGATGATTGGCAGAATTTTGAGCCACCACCGCATATCTCGTTACAAGCAGGGTCCGCACAAAATCATCCTCTCCCTGTTCAAAATCCGCCTCTCCACGCATATGAACAATGGCAACCACCATCACATATGGGTGCTATCACAGCGGAATTAGAGCTGCTGGGGCTGGAAGATCCTCAGGGTTCAGACGATGAACTTCCAGACTACCAACAGAGCCAAGCGGAGATGGCGGCGAAGAAGAGACAAGAAGCATCAGCAAGAGCTCGGGAACTAGAGGCAAGATGGCGAGGTACACGCAGATGATCATGGTTCTGAGTATTGAGAGCTATCTGGAAAAACACGAAAGCAGAATTGTATTCCATTCTGGATAATTCCCACTAGCCTAAACCAGAGCATGCGGATTGCGCTCTTGGAGGCCAGGGTTCGCATCTGGAACTCGTACGGTATTGGGATAGCCCAAAGCATACCGGTTTATGAAGCAATACTTCGGCCTTTTGGCCCCAAACCACCGTTCCAACCACCTGTTAATGCCACAATCACGATAAAGGACTAAGTGTCTGCATGCATGTATATAGCGAAGTGAAGCGGGTACGTACTGCGTATGCCCTGCAGTAGTACAAGCGCATTGACTCATTGCGGCACCGCCCCCACAACTCAACTACCGAGACAAGGTGTGTATAAACCGGCCGCTTTGATGTTATACCCAAGCGAGTTGTACAAGATGAATGACAGCCGGAAAGGGGGAAGTGGCCCCTGCATAGAGTATGATGACATGCGCCAAACGGCTGTTTACATTTGTGCATTTCCCAATGCAGCTGCAGTTGTCATTGTAGGAGTTGGAGCCGGTAACGCGTTCAGTGTACATAGGTATTGTTTCCGAAGCAGATATTGTAATGCACTCAATAGCCTAGAACAGCCTTTCCGCCCCAACATCTAGCGGATGGTCACACACCAGATGAACTCTCATGACTAGCTTTGCATCACTTGATCAGTCTGCTGCTAGCGAAGGAGAAGTTGTCAGGCAGAGAAGTTTTCATCTCCACGTGAGTAGATTAAACGACGCAAGTATGCCTTGTGGAAAGCCTTATACGGAGCGGAAATTTGAAACTACGCAACGTACCTAGGTACCCGGCCAGTGGTTAATCCATGCGACAAGGGTTTGAAATGATCACGTTCGGCAATACGCATCTATGAGCTCTGGCATGTAGTCTAGAATCTGGGCGCGAGTTTCTGATACTCCATCGTCTGCTTTACCTCATTAGCATTTGCTTCATCACCTGAGCAGATCAGAGAGGACGGCGTGACCGTCATCCTACGGCCAACTGCCACTTTTCATACTGCCAACTGACGAGCTCATACTTGATCTACCTATACCAGTGGTAGCATTGAAGTATCCAGAGACGCACTAGAATCCACGTAAGGCCTAAACGAAGAACACACTGGACGCGGGGAGTTTGGGGGCGGAAAAGCTTATTTCGCGGACGTTGTGCTACAACGGGCTGTCCAATACACCAATCCAGGGTTTCGAATGCATCG